CGGCAACATATCATTAGATTAAACTAAATATTACAAAGAGGTTTGTTATATTACATTTTTGTGTGTTTCAAGAGACAACATAACTCTGATAAGTTGATCTTGCATGTTTTACTAATGTATCCACTGCATAAATTTCTTCTCTTTTGATGAACATGAAGTTATAATGGAGCTTCGGATCAGCCAGGAGGCTAATATCCTTTAGAAAAGTTGCCAGCTCATGATGGGTCCATTGCTGCATTATGTATGATTGATATTGGTTCTTGAGTTTTCCATAAATTCTCTTATCATCTCCAGAAAAAGTAACTCCTTCAAAATCCCAACTTCTAACTTGCATAATGGCTTCTCTAAGAGCATATGCATCTACTTCTAATGGAATTTTCGTGGGTTGAATGGAGGATGATCATTGAAGTACCAATTTACCTTTTGGGCTCATTAACATCCATCCAAAGCCAACGTTATGTTCCGCATAGATCCAAGATGCATCTACAAAGCAACCAAATTTATTAACTTTGCAGATAGCTTCCATCATTGTATTTGGTGTACTCTCCACTCAATTCACTTCTTCATCCTGATTTGATAAATGGGTTCCATTCGTGTTTCCATCTGCAGTGTTTGCATCCGACCACAATTTATGATCCAATATAGCTTTATTTATAGCCTCATGAATAAACTATTTCTTATTTTAAAAATTAAGTTCATTCCTATTCTTCCAAATTCTCCAACCAAGATAAGGAAATACTATCACAGGATTATCCCTGTTAAAAATAATTGAAAGAAGAAATTATACATTACCTTCAACATCCTCTGATATCTGGTTGTCTCTTGTAAACATGCTAGCTGGAGAGAGTTCATACACCTCTTTACAGAATCTACACTGGAAAAGCAAATGATTAACACTTTCCACGTGCTCACCATAGAACACACAACTATCATCAATCCTCAGTTTTGCTTTCTAAGACTATCTACTATAGGTAATGCATTATTCATAACTCTCCACCACAAATGTCTTACTTTGGGGGAAATGTTTAACTTCCAGATTTTTTATAAAGATCTTTCCCCCTAATCTGATTGGATGGATGCTGAAGATGGTATCCAGATGTTACTGCGTATTCACCATTCTTTGTGTAGCTCCATGTGATTGTATCCTATGCATTTGTTAAGCTTGTCATGATATGCTTTATAAATCGAGCATCTTCTGGGTCTAACAATAAATTCAACTTCTCCTCATCCCTCGGATTAGTTACTGCAATGAACAGCTCATAGACCTTTATATCCGGAACCATAGCAACGTCCACATTTAAGGGTCTTGCTGATACACTAGGGATCCAAATACCTTTGCAAATCCTTATTTGATTTACATTCCCGACTATCCACTTAAGATCTTTAGAAAGAAGTATGTTACCTTGGTAGATACTTCTCCATGCATAGCTAGGTTTATGTCACTTTTTAGCTTCAAGCAGTGTAGATTTTGAGATGTATCTTGCCTTATAGACTTTAGACAAGAGTGCATCTGGATTTTGCATGATTCTCCAACTCTATTTGGCTAGAAGAGCTACAATGTAATGCTTAATATCTCTTATTCCATAACCACCATCATTTTTTGATCTTGTTACTTTATCTCATGTAATCTAGGGAATTTTGTGCTTATTGATGTTGGTGGACCACCAAAAATTATTTA